CACCGTCTACCCCCGAAGAAGGCAGACAAACCAAACACTGCTCAATTGATACTGGTCAGGTTTGCGTCGGTTGCCCTCAAGGAGCAATGGACGAGATGCCGTAGGCGACTAAGAGAGCTCAGCAACGCCGGCAGTCAGCCCAAGCTATTTTTTAATGACAATCTCACTCGTTCCAACCGTGAGCTTTTCTGGATGGCAAGACAGCATGAATGCCGACATGCTGCACAGATATTGTGCGTCTCGGTGTCACAGCATCTACAGCACATGCACGTGCATAATTTTTTTTTTCAAGACGGATATTTGCAGTATCTATAGATACTAGGAGGCTTGCCTTGCAGTGTTCAAAAGAGACCAATTTTTTTATTTACGACTCCCTTCTGTATTGTAAATGCAAGCAGTTTTGAATATGAAGCTCCCATGCCCACTTCCGTTTGCGTACAAAACTTGTTTTTAGCCGTCCTAACATATATGTGGCGTTTCGCAGACTCGGTACTGTCGAAGTACATCAGCATATGGGACAACGCTCAGGTATTACAGTACTTTTGTTGCAAATATAAGTTTTCACATTATGACATTGCCAAGAAGCAGGTCACATGTGTGTGTGTGTGTTTTTTTTTACGTAGCAACCAGATAGGTTGCTGCAAAATAAGTACTATATTTGAACAGGAAGAGTGCGTCGAATTGCTGAACCTATAGAGATATATCACAGGTCTAAGAAAAGTTTCTCAAAATATGTGCAGTATAGCTATAGCTCCCATTGAAACAAAACAACTCGCGTACAAAACATTTATCCTCCCAAAATTAGAATATGTAAGCCCTATTTGGAATCCACACCTAAATTACCTAATCTCGAGTGTCGATTCTTCGGAACCAAGCAGCCAGATTTGTATGCAGTGATGATTCATCTGAAACTAGTGTGTGCTTTAAATAAACCAACATAAATCTTCATCTAGAAAGAAGACGAAAAATAGTCCGATCGTGTTTTCTTTTTGTTTGTTTTTTCAAGATGTTTATTACTCAGATACAGATTTTCAATCTAATTACTGCCGGGCTGCGAATTTTATATCGTCCATATTAAATAATTTCTGCGAGATTGAACCATTCCAGTGCCGTACTAACACTTTCCTCTTTTCTCCCTTAGTACTTTGCATAACTGACTGGAACAAACCACCCTACCATATTGTGCCTGAGCTAAATCCCATTTCATTTAAAAACAAGTGCATCAGTTTGTGTAACTGTGAACCTTGATTTGTAAAACTGCATCATACCAATAACATCCTAAATTAATAAGCGTTTTTTTTTTCCTTGTTAGTGTCTATCTTTTAAGATCAATTATTTTTTTGTTCTTTTTTATTTTTGAATTCCCTCTTACGTAATGCGTCTTCGGGTGCGTTTGAGGTGAATAAAATGAAATTGAATTAAATTAATGCCTCTGCATCATTTACCCGATTGCTACTGTAGTTCATTTCATCCGGTCTCAATACTTCGATTCTTGCCATTCCATAGAGATTCTTTATATATTTATTTATTTATTTATTTATTTATTTATTTATTTATTTATATAAAACTCCCATGTCGTTCAGAGATAATTACACTACCTAGTTTATCGCTTAAAATAATAACGGATCTGTCTCAGGATATCACTTTCTTGCATTTCACCACAATAATTGTAGGTTATAATAATTTTCCTGCGTTCTAAAATTTGTGCTTTAAATCCCTCAGTGTTCACAGCTCTGATGTTAGCTCATAAAAAATAAATAATGCCAAAAGCCGCGTTTCTACGACGTAAAAGCTACGCGCGAAGCCTTCAGCTCAGCTTTATAGCGCGGCGCATGTCAGCCTGCTTCCGTGACGTCACTGGAGGCGTATCCTGGCCTTCTCCTCTGGGTGGTGTTGGTCTGCAGCTTTTTGGTCCGCAGGGGGCAAAGAGGGGAAGAGATGAGCCGCCGTGTCGCGCACCCTTTCTTTCGTAAACAGGCGTTTGTGGGGTTGTGAAGATACGGACTTCGGGCGTGGCCAGCGTGAATCTGGTCGTCAGTGTGATCGCACGCTCGGAGGGTCGCTCAACTTCTCCGAAGGGCCCCAACATTCCTAACGCTGTGTCGACGTTTTCGCTGCGTTTAGGGGGAACTTTCCGCTCCCCGCACGATTGCAAAGGAGCAGCGCCCGAACGGAAATCTCCCGGCATTTACTCAAACCTAAGGTAAGCTGTCGTCGTTGGCTGTCATGGTCATAACGGCGCATATTATCACACTCCCGGCGAAGTCGGCGTTTTGTCGACAAAGCGCTCGAATTAAGTACCTTACTCTTTCGTACATCATTCTGGACGGAAGTTCCGGCGCTCTTTCCACGTCCAGTTTTGAAATCGGGCGGCACAACCACGAAAACCGACCAACAAATTTCTCCTGGCCCGCTGTCATTTCCCAATATGTTTAAATTGGTTTAGCCTTCAATAACGAATGTTACAAGACCCATCAAATCAAAAATTAAAAATATTGATTACTGTGTAACAAACATGGTAACCCTGAAGCGAGGGGACAAAAAAAAAAGACGAACAGAAACGAAACACGAAGTTTCGTGCTTGTCCGTCCTAAGAGTAGTGTATTCAGGCCTTTATTGTTTCTAATATGTATCAATAACCTCGCCTGCTTACATGCTTTAACTGTAAAACCAGGCACGTAGCCAGGGGGGGGGGGGGGGGCATGGGGCCCGCCTTTCCCCCCGAAATCTTCCATTTTGCTGACACCTCCTCTCCCCCCTCCCCCTCATGCAGCGTTTTGTCATGGGTGCCCCCCCCCCCCCCCCCCCCCCCCCGAAACAAAATCCTGGCCACATGCTTGTGTAAAACCCTTCATTTTTGCGGCCCTGATTTTTAGCGAATTTGGCAGCGGGGTCGTGTTCGCGACCAGTGAATTTCACGATTTCTAAAGACTGGAATTCGCCTCTGCAGAAAATAGAAATATTCGCTCCCACTAGAGTTCGCGAATCTTACAATGAGCGAACTTCGCAAAAATTAAAAGCTCCCGAACAATAAAGTGAACCTGAAGTGGTTGTGCACTTGAGCAAAACACTTAAATCGTAATCATATGGCCTCGAAAATTACGGATATCGCAATAATTTTTCAGTTGGGTGCACGGAGGGTGCAGAAAATCATTTTCAAAGTACCCCCGAAGCCCCTCCTTCCCGGAGCGTGACGTCATACCAAGAGTTTTCGGAACCTCCGCTCTCCTGCATTTTTGTCGCCTGTCAAAGCTATGCACGCGCACTCTTATTGCTTCAAAAAGGTCAGAAAACAACGTCACGACTGGCATCAGTGCCGGAAATTATACCTGGCAAGCTCCCAATTTCACGCGACCCACACGAGCAACACGCGCTTGACGGCCGAAAGATCATTTTATGACGTAACGACTGGCCGGAGGTGCTTCGTGTTTCCTTGCGTTTAGTCGCACCTTCGGGGGAAAATGAACGTGATATTCAGATTCACAGGATAAGAAATGTAAGATATTTTTAAGGGTTTCACAGTAACAGATTTTAAGTAATTCGCTAACTTTTCACGATGGTTATGTCCTCATCTAATGTGTGCACGAGCATGATAGATGCAAGCTCAAGACTGCAGCCAAGAAACACTCACCTTTTTTTCACAGTCCGTTCGAATTGAAATCAAATTACCTGTATTTTTAGAATTAGTATGTCCCCATATTTCTATATATACTATATTTGGAGTCACAACAATTTTAGAAATCAAGTGTAGAAATGAGGTGTAAATAAAAGGGCTGCTTTCTTCAACCTCCGATGAACTAGGTAACAAAAAAAAAAGTGATGGAAAATGTTTCAATATACGCCTGCGCCGATTTATGCAACTATCGTGACGTGGCACAAGCTCTCGTGATATCCTTTCCAAAGAAGGTTCCCAACTGGTTTCTCAGTCATTTCCGAACGAGTTCAACAAGGCACTCATTCGCTACACACGTTCTTCTCTAACCCCCTTCATCATTGACCTCTGTTCGTCATCCCCGAAACTTAATGCAGTTTCCTCAATACCCATAACATGCTCTTGACGAGAGGCGGTTTTGTTGACGCCTCATGAAATGACTGAAAACCCAGGCGGCAATCTTCTTTGAGTAGTCAGGAGTTAATACAGAAACTTTTTGCGAGTCATAACTGCCTAAACCTGTGATGCGATTATATGGAGAAGTCGTTTGAGTCCATCTAAATTCCTTGCATATTGAAATATCTTTTGTCGCACTAGGTTTTTTTTTTTTTTTGTAAGTTATTCGGAGTTCGGAAAAAGCAGCCCTCTTTCTTTTGGAGATCTTTCTTTACTTGTTTCATGCCTCCACACTCTAGTGTTTAAGTGACTGCATAAAACTAGCTTATCTGTATGCTTCCTTCTATAATTGCTGTCGATTTGATTCCTGGGCAATAGGTACGCCCTTTCTTCATACGAAAATATTCAACGTGTGAACACATAGAGAGGACTAAGTACTTGTCAGCAGTGACTGCATTACTGATAAATACTTGGTGATATTCAGTGCTCGCATTCAAAATACAGACTGAAATAAAAAGTAACGCGTGGCACTGATCTGGTACAAGAATATTTAGCACTGTTTATTACTTTTCGGTTCTGATCAAAAACCAGACGCAATAGCTTTACTACTTACGCACAATGAGACCAGTGCTGTGCGTGGTATTTTAGTCCTACAACAAGGGAGATCTATATAACTTTTAAATATTGCAGTTAGTCCTAAAAGAATAATGGCTATCTTAACCTTATTTGCAGATATTCATTTTAGCCTTCTCTTAAAAAGTAGGTGCACTCGTCTCCTAAAGCCCCCAACTTGCTCTCTTAGTTTTGTCGTACATCTTTGCACCGCTAATGAGGCAATTTGCGCTCCTGTGCAGGACACCGACAAGGCCTGGTCAAGGGGTCAGCACAAATCCTGCACAAGGAGCTTTCTGGGAAAGATAAAGGGCTCAGCTTTCATGAGGCGCCATCTAACATGGCTGAAGCAACGCTCAAAGGATTCTCTAGCTTCTTGGACTGGAAGCTTCTGACATTCCAGAGGTCACTGCCCCGTGCCTTTACATGCGACCTCTGCGGATTGATGTCGCAGACGTCAATGGTGGCGGCCTGTATGCACGCCTTCTGTCTTGATTGTAACCAGCTCCTCCTGGTCGAGGCTAGTCCTAAATGTCCTCTCGACGCAAGGGAAATCAACCCAGACGAAAGCAAGCATATTGTTCTAGGGGATGCCGAGAGAGATAAGCTACTGGTCAGGTGCATGAACGCTCCACATGGTTGCGACTTTCGTGGACCACTTTTTGATCTTGAAAATCACTTTGTGAAGAACTGCAACTTCCACATGGTGTCTTGCAAAACATGTGGTGGCCCTGTTCTTCATAACGAAGTACTGGAACATTTGAATGCATGTGTCCTTCAAGATAGAAGTGTGGCGTGTGCTGGACCACAGAGTAGTGTTTTAGAAGAGAAAGTGAAGTTTGACCATGAGAACGGCGTGGAGATCAATGCGCTGGCAGCCATTGCTGTTATGTGCACAGGTAATGACGTCAGTGTCCTCGTTGAGTCGATGAGAAAGTGTTCCCAGTCTGTCAGGGATCTCGAAAATCTGGCAAGGAATCTTGTCGAGTCTGTAAAGCACTGCGTTACAGTTACAGACGCAGACGATTCAACAAACAAAACATCAAGTTTTGTTGGGTCGTTAGAAAATTGTACTAAGGTACTCAAAAAAATCCAGGCTCTCTGCGAGAAACTTCCCAATAACTGGGCGGCTACGTGCTTTCGGCCAGGTGACCTTGCCATAGCAAAACACGATTTTGTATGCAGAAACTTTTCTTTCAAAGTGAACAAAACGCCATCTGAAGCTGAAACTCACTATTATCCGGCATGTTCTAAGGGAGAGGTAACAATTAATAATTACCAGGTTCAGCTTTCGCCAATATGCCAAAAAAAGCCTCTTTGTGCCGCGTATGTCAGCTTCAAAGTGGCGGTTGTCGGTCAAGCGATAACATCTGGGCTGTCGATAGACATCACACTAGTTCTGATTAACCCAACCGATGCTAGTCAGAACAAAAACCGCCCCCTGACGTCTGATGAGCTCTTTAAGAACAGCGATCCCCTAAAAGAATGTCGCTTCCATACAAGCTCATTGCGCGAACAAGGCTTCATAGTAGACGATATGCTTTTTTTGTGCTTGGAAGTAGTTGAATGAAGCATGCAGTTTTTTTCTTGAACACATCCACATGTCCACCCAAACAGAGCAAATAAATTGCTCAAAGCACTTTTTTTCTTTTTCTTAAGCCTCGCATCAACAGTGTTTCTTTGGCTACTTTATCTAATGCAGTAGCAGAGAGAGCGAGTGAAATTGGTGAACATCGTGCCAGTGCCAAAGATAGGCACAGTTGATTATCGTAAGCTTGGAGGCAGCCAAGTCCTTGGTGGGGTAAATTGAACAGGACTCAGTTGTACAGCAGCATGAAAACGCAACCTTTTTGACAGCTAAAAGAGTTCCAATGTATGTTTTATTTGATCAATTTTAATGTACAAATTAGAGCTGACGTTATGTCCTGCTCTTAGGCTCGATTGTATACGCCATTGTCCTGTATTTCAAACGATTTCAGCGGATAAATAAAACGATTCTCCATTGCAAAAACCACTGGCTGGTTTGACCTCAGTGCTTTACTAAATCTTGACCCTAATGGGTAAAAAGAATGAACCCGTAACGGGAATATAAATAGTTCGTTTGCACCAGTATCGCTACATGAGACAAAAAATAGCTCCACATTCAGGGAATAAATATCACTACCAAACTTTTTAGACACTTTGAAAGAGTGTCGACAATTCTTTCTTAATAAACGTCACGTTTTATAACTATTATAAATGTTATTAAGTTCGAGTGTCGCGTAAATTTTCTCCAGCGTTTGTGTAGTTATTGATGACAATAACTTTGCTTGGTCTGTTGTATTTTTTTCAGCAGCCTGGCCAATTCATATAAGAAAATTGTTTCCCCATTTCATCGTATTTTCTTTCGTTCACATGTGTTGATGTGTGTGTTTTTTTTTTTTGTTTTTTTTTTTAATAGTCACAAAACGTGCATGTGCCCTTTCCTTCGAAGTGTCATTAGGAACTGGTAGCACCTTAGAAAAAAAGAAGCGTTCTGATACCGATTCCCCAACTAAAAGTTGAGAACGACCCGCATATCTTCGAACTGGAAAACATTCGAAGGTATAGTCCGTGCACAAGGGGCAACCGGGACTTTAATTTTAAAAGGGAAATGGGAAATTTGACAAACGTAGAACACCGCATATGCTTTCCAGAGGCCTTCGGCGTCCAGGCACGACTTGCCAACATTTTGGCAGCTCCTTGATTGTTTTTCTACCGCAGAAAGAACATGGCCGCGTGACTCAAGTATAGGGCGAAGGTGTCAGTCCGGTTCAATTGTCACCGAATGGCGTCCTTCGAGTAACTCTCGTAACCGTTCGTTATACTTTTGTTCATTCCATATTTCGTTTCTGATACTGTTCTTGCGACCTTCTCGAAACTTACACCCGTATTCACCAGTCGCGACTAACTAGCGCCGTCTTAAAGGGGCCCTGCAATGACTTTTTGACTGGTTTTTAATTTGCACTGAACCTGAGCGTACTGAACGTAGTAACTTAATTCAACTTTTCTTTTCTCAAATTTCGCTTTATTTTAAAAGTTATAGGCAAATTAGAATTACAAAAACAAGCAAAAAATAACCTCCTTCATGACGTCGTAGGTCCCGGCTTGAGTGGCCTTGAACTAGAGGAGGAGTAGTGAGCTCATCGAGCGCACACGGCTGCCGCACTCCGTGTCGACGGCTCGAGAGGGCGCCACTAAAGCACGAGTTGGATAGGCTGTATGAAGCGGGCGGCCAGGGCAGCTCGCATTGCATTTGCTGCGCGACTAAACACTAATTCGGCATAACATTTCATTGGCCACAAACGACAGCAAACACGGCGTAAAGATCAGTTCAGAACGGGAGCCACTTCGCGCTGACGCACCGCCAAATGGCCAAATCGCCAGCAGGGCCCGCGCCGAAGGCCTTCGGAACGCTCGGAACCGGTCGGATTCTTGAGCCGGTATACGACCACAGCGCCGCCGCGTACATCCGGGACCTTTCTACGCTCCTCGTTTGTCGTAGCCTCATCCCACTAGCCTTTTCTAGTATGCGCCGTTTCTTTCCGTCGCTTGGTGGCGGGTATGTCGGCGGGTCATTTCTCGTTTCCGTACTTTCTAAACTGCATTTGTTTCTTTTCCGATCTAAAATAGTGAACAAAAACTACTTTCATACATAATTGAAACGGTTCGCGACACTTATATTTTGTATCTCGACTAAAAAAAAGCTCTTAGCGGCTTTGACCAGTGGCAAGCGCAGGACCAAAGACGTCACATTTTGCGCGTTTTCGGTACCGCGGGTCGCCCTCGTCGGTGGAGGAGGTTTCCGCGTCGTCCGGTTAAAATATGACGCACTGATATTTAGTTGCTCTCTCCGTGCCCGCTGGCTTGCCCCAACCCCAAGAGACGTGGAAACCGCAAAAAAGGTAGACGCTTAAATATGATTGCAGGGCCCCTTTAAGGTTAGTAGCACGGCTAAGTAGTAGTCGCGAGCTAAGCGAAAATCCGCAACTAACGAACGATTATGTTCTGCGGTATTTACGAGCGCGAAACCAGCGGGTGACTATCTAGTCAGAACCACTGATCTCTATGACAATTGCTGGATCGCGCTTCCCCGCTTGTTCGCTGCAGCGCAAGTGAAGCCACCGGACTTTACTCGCTTGGGGTACGATTTGCTGTTTTTGCTAGCCTTTGCTGCGGTTTTCCAGCGTGCTGTGGACACGTTTTCTACTCGTTCCTCGTCATTCGCCGAAGAAGTTTTTGGAAGACTCTGTGTATTGTTGAGACTTGCCGCTGTGAACACGTGGAAAATTTTACGAAAGTGCAGTGTCGCAGGAAAAAGGCACAACGCGTCGAAAGGAAGGGCTGGCGGCGTGTTCAAAGCTTCCTCGGCACGCCGAAGTGCCGTGTCTCTGTGCCTTCGCACGCTTGGATACCGACCAAGAACCGACGCCGTGTGTATGTGTTTAGCGAGTGCAATGTGCGTGAAGCTGTTCGTGCCTCTGGATCAGCGTCTTTTCCCCTCGCGGTTTAGGAACGAGCTTAATCCAGCGTCCACTAGCGACGGAAGATGGGGGGAAGGTACGTCGTTTTTTCTTCCACGATTTACACAATACCGTGCACAACAGCTCCTCGTTTCTGATCAGTGCTGGCTTATTATCAACCTACTTAATTGCGCTTGACGTTTGAGCGCGGCTCGCCTAATTGTAATTGGTCAACAGATTGCACACGACCATATCGGCCGCGCTTCAAAGATTTTCATTCTCGCCGTCTTGTACTTTTGCTTTCGAAAACCCCCCTGGCTCCACAACGTTGCCCTATTCGTGCTCCCACGGAATCTATTAGAGTAGATTTGGGACATAGCCATGGTTAATATAGTACAACGTACAGATCTCCCCCTTTTATTGATAGCAACTCACCGGAACAGCTGGACGATCCAGAACTCCGTGGCCGTTATATATAAATGATCTAAAGGCATCTACGCGCGACACACGTTCAGAACTTTGGCGCGGCGTCAATTCTTGACCGGTATCCAAGCGTGCGAAGGCACAAAGATGCATCACTCGGCGTGCCAAGGAAGCTTTGATCACGCCGCGACACCGGCGACACGTTTTCGACGAGTTGTACCTTTTGATACGACTTCACGCACATTGCACTCGCTAAACACATTCACACGGCGTCGGTTCTTGGTCGGTATCCAAGCGCGCGAAGGCACAGAGACACGGCACTTCGGCGTGCCAAGGAAGCTTTGAACACGCCGCCAGCCCTTCCTTTCGACGCGTTGTGCCTTTTTCCTGCGACACTGCACTTTCGTAAAATTTTCCACGTGTTCACAACGGCAAGTCTCAACACTACACAGAGTCTCAAAAAACTTCCTCGGCGAATGACGACGAACGAGTAGAAAACGTGTCTACAGCACGCTGGAAAACCGCAACAAAAGGCTAGCAAAACGGGAAATCGTATCCCAGCGGGGTTGCGTCCGGTGGCTTCACTTGCGGGAGCGGCAAGCGCGATCCAGCAATTGTCATTGAGATCAGTGGTCAGAACTAACAAGCGGAAGTGACGCAAAAAGATAGGTCACGCATATGCGTACTCAGCGTCAATGGGTATTTTTTCGTATAAAAACTAAACTTTAAATGTTTATCAGGAAAAAAAAAAGTTACAATGAGAAACATATCGTCCGAGACAGAGTTAAACAAAAAAAAATTAAGAACAACGCCAGGGAGGAACACGGAAGCCCCATTGCCAGCGACATAAACAAATAAGGAAGCGCCCGTAAATGCGTTTTTTTTTTTCTCGTCGCCCAGCGCCCTGGTAAGATCTATTTAGTGGTAGCTCTGACCGCTGAATATGGCTATTTCCGCATTATTTGCTCCTCCATTTCTTTCTAGATGTGTCCCCTAGCGTCTTGAGACTGTAAGTGCTTCGTTAGCGCTGGCGGTCAGCGCTGATACGAGTCGGCCATGGCGCTGAGCCGCTATACCCGCTAAACACCGGCTAAACTAGCCCTACCCCATGACTAAGATTTATTAGTCGACTTCTTAGTCGCGCGGGGCGACTAGTCCCTAAACACGACCGGTGAATACCCAGCGCTCACTTAGCGGCGACTATCGCTCGCCACGTGATCATTTGAGTTGATGACGTCACTTGTCAGTGGTTAAAGGGCAACTCCACTCCATTTTTACAATTTTTGGGTTATGATCTGTTTAGTTGAAGCCGGCGGCCCTGAATCACGAGATATAATTTGTTTTTCGGTAGTGTGTATAGTTTTGTAGATATCGCGAATCCAAGTATCGTTCCCGCGGCACGGCGAAACCGAAACTACCGGTTGAAGCAGCTTGGCAACACTGATACTAGTGGCGCGTCGTCGGCATGACCTAGTTCTGGTCCCGCGCTTCTCCGCCGACGCGCCGACAAGGTCGGCTCAATCGCACGTGGAGTTTAAAAATAGAAGGTTAGATGCACATTTTCTTTTTTTTACCGCTTCACTTTGTTAATATGCACCAAATGTAGTAAGTTTTAGTGTGTATTTATAAATTTGCCGGCCGAAAAGCGAATCCAACTGCTATAAAT